ATTACGAATAAAAGGAGTAACAATCTTTTTGGGTGTTTCACCGCGCACTTTTTGAATTTTTTTGTTGTTGTTGGTACATTGTCCTAGGTTTCTCGGTTTGCGGACCACAGAATAAGCGAAATCAAAAGTAAGAAACACAGGATGACATGATTGAATGCCATAAACAGAGGAGCTGGTGCATCACTTTATTGAGGAGCGGGTTTAACTATATTCACCGAAATTCCCCTGGTAATGCTCTCTGATCTTCAAATTTTCCCTCTTTTACAGAGAAACGCCACATCAATAATGAAGTTAATTTACTTCAGCATATACTTTGGGGTTTGTTTAAGACCGATGTTTCATACAGTAAATCAATTGTGATTTATATTTAAATTAATAGAACGATGGTAGCAAGGTCCTGTAACCAAAATATCATAAAAACCGTGCAAATAAAAATTAATTACGAAGCAACATCTGAAGACGAACCAGAATAATAGGCTTAATCGTTGTTCTCTATTGCGATGCGGTGGTTACCCAAACGCAAAATTCACGAGAAATTAGGATGTAGTAACATTATTTGTTAATCTCTGTACAAGCTTTTATCGTCATTTGGTGACCACTTTGTTTTATGAACATCGTTAAAATTCGACTTTTGTACGCGAATTCACGAGGATCACCAAGGTAAAATGAGAAGTTACCGTTTCGGGGTTATAATTTTCTTAGATGGATTTATCTGAAATGATCTGACTTACACACTGTTTGAGAGTGCTGGACATGATTGTTTGTTATTATCTACACAATAACGGTTACTTTGCTCTCCCAATGCTACGTAGAAGTGAGACTGATCCATAACAGTAATTATGTCCCCAAAATATGCTCAAACTCAAGCTCTTCTAGGACTCTGAACATCTTTTAAGTGAACAAGTAAAACATTGTGAGTAAAAGTTGAGAACCATACAGATGTAGGCAGAAATGCAAAAGTGGTGTACGGTCTCAAAAATGGGGACTTGTTATAGTTCGTCTCTATTGAAGCCTTCAGAAACAATCGTCCAAGACTGAGCAGAACACCAAAAGGTTATAAAATCAGGCTGAAAATTTTGTGAGCAAGGTTTATTAATAAACGTTGTTGTGGTTATTTAGGGATGTATACAATAACTAATTATGAAGAATAAGTTGAATATTTTAGTTCAAAAATATGACAAACTTATAACTTTACTCGATTGAGTTACTTGGGGCTCGCCAAGGAAAATATACGCGCCGGTGCGAATATCCCTGCCAACAAAGCGCGTTTTTTTGCCAGAATTTCGCTCTCCAAATAGCGTTTTTCCTTAATAGTAAACTAGAGCATCTCTGGCAGGCTTATATGCACTAAACAATTTCAAAATTGATTATCCACTGGATAAATGTGCAACAGATATATATTCNTTATTTTCAAGACGGAGAACGGGTTTCGATTATTGAGATGTACTATAGTACTTCTGCAAACAGAGCATTCATTAATCCGGGGTAAATTTGAACGGCATTATTTTTGATAAAATGGGAGTAGAGTATTAGGAATATAACAGGTCCCTAGAATATAAACCGGTGAGTAGTAACTGAATTTGAAGTGGATCTAAAAGGATGAATCGTAGAAAAACGCGCAAAGCCCTGTTGCGACCCGACGTTATTTGCGCGAAATTTCGTCCCAAAAGTACGTGTTGCAGGACGCGCTGTATAGCGTGTTATTCCGGCCTTTTTGCGAGTAACGATTTTATGTACGTAAGGATGCACGTATCTTCTCCTGTTTGTTTGATCAGTCATGTAAATGTATTTGTGGTGAAATATATACCTCAATCGAACCCCGCGAATCGGTACTCAAAATAACAGGAAATTTTGAAAATTATCGAGACCCGGGATCATTAGGCCTAGTACCCGTTTACGGCTTCAAAACTTCAATATATAAGTGGGAAGACTGTGCTATCTGAGCACTTGGTATACTCTTCCAGTACATGGAACGGTTTTTTGTCCCACATCGGGGGCCTTTTGAGCGAGAGAGATGAACTGGAAACCTCGGTACAGAGTCATAGCCCAACTTTAGTGGTGCTCACTGAAACCTGGTTAAACGCTAACGTTATGAACTCGGAAGTTGCTCTCTCCGGATACATCCTGCCTCGAGGCGACAGAAACCCCGGGCGTATTGGTGGAGGATTGGCATTGTTTCTCCGATCCGGCATTCTTGTGTTACAAATGGAAACCTATGCATACCTGCACGGTTTTGGCAAAGTGGTGTGGTTTCACGTCGAGCTAACATCAGGCGGATATGTAAACATAGGAGTATTATATAGAACCTCAGCGCGAGCATCCCTTAAACTGCTGACCTCTCTGCGCAGATGGGCAGGTAACAGTCAATGCCTAGTTCTCGGGGACTTCAATGCTCCCAACTTAGATTGGGCCTGACCAGGCCTGGAGCGGATCACTTCTCTCGTGAACTACTGATTATCTTACATGAATTATCCTTGTTTCAACATGTGCAGTCGCCGGTGCAGCAGCAGAACAGGCTTGCTCTATTCTTTAACTGATGATATCACCGATAAGTACCGATGTAGATCAGATAGAGCATCTCCCTCCGTTAGGGTGCAATGTTGGCTATTCATTAGCAGGATGCTACTACCCGAAGGACTACACATAGGTCGAAATATATGGCACACTCAATTTGATGAGGCCCGAGTAGACGCCATGGCTTTACCTCGGCTTCCACCTATCTTCGGCAAGGTGAATAAAGTAGATGTGGCATGGGAAAGCATCCGGGACGGTATTATCCACCTTATGGACACGTTTGCTCCAGTAACTCACAAGAGAACGCAGACACTGGAGCCACCATGGTTTGATCTCGAACTACGAGGATTTCTTCGGCGCCGAAACCGCGCTTGGCGAGCTGTTCGGGCTACCGGTGTAGGTTATGACCTTTTTTGGAGAAAGGGGAATCATTTCACGGATATGAAACGAGTCAAGCGCAGGACCTTCAAGGAGAAGCTGGTTGCAGACTCATTGAATACTCCCAAACTCCTATTTGTCTACCTGAAGCGACACACGAGGGCTAGAGCTGGTATTCTATCGTTGATCGATGGATTCAAAATGGTTGAAATCAATGAGGGTAAAGCGGAAGATCTGGTCAAACAGTACCGCTCAATAAACNCGACCGATGATTGCTCGCCTCCAAAAAAAGCACATCAATATTCACCTCTGCAGAGTGTTCAGAAGCGGAGGTAACAAGGATGCTCCAATCGATCAAGACTTGTCAGTCACCAGGCCCGGATGCTGTTCATCCTCTCCTTCTCAAGGAACTGACGATCCAGCTGTCCCCACCAATTACGTGGCTTTCCAACCTATCAGTGCGCTTGGGAGGACTGCCGCGAGTGGGAAAAAACGGCTTTTGTACCGATTTACAAGGGCGGGGCGAAAGCTGCAGCAGTCAACCGCCGCCCGGTGTGCCTAGCATCGAATGTCGGCTAGGCATTGGAATGCCTGGTGGTTTCACGACTTACGGAGTGCCTCGAGCGACACCAGTTGATGTGTAAAGAGCCACACGGATTCCGCCAGAGAAGGTCCTGTATGAAAAATTTGCTGTTTGATCGTGAACGTCGCTCTAGAGGCGAAAGAAGAGAGATATGGCACGCAAGTAATCTTTGTTGATTTCAGTAACGTATTTGACAGCGTACCTCATGACAGATTGCTTACCAAACTCGGCTCTGAGCATCACAGAATTTGCACTTAACTGGCTAGATAATTTTCTGAAAGGGAGATCGTTCTCGGTAAGAGTTTCACAGACCCAATCTGCATGGTATCCAGTCACCAGCAGTGTCCCACAAGGTTTCGTCCTTGGTCCACTGCTGTTCCTAACCTTCGCAAAAAACATAACATCAAAGCTGAGTAGCCCGTTCTTAATCTACGCTGATAACTTTAAGCTCAGGCACACAATCCAGTCGAAGGTGAACCAGCTGCCTCTTCAGTGAGACCTGAATATCCTGCTGGACAGATTAAGGGTGCTGAGATTATCTCTGAACACCTCAAAATGTGCCCACACGATAATAAGAGGAAATGGTCTCACCAAAAGCTACCATCTTGGAAGTATCGTGCTCCAGTAGTCATCTGAAGAGCAGGATTTAGGTGTTGTCGTCACGAGCAACCTAAAAACTCATACACAGACAGAAAAAGATTGTGCAACTGCGTAGAGCATGTTGAGTGCTATCCGCCGTTCCTTTGGTCCGTTACCTCTGACAGCTTTTAGATTGCTGTTGGCCTCCTACGAACGTCCTTGATTGGAATAGGGCGATACGGCGATCTTTCTTTGTACAGCTTCTGAGTTTATCCGATTAGAGAGTTTAACGGGTTGCTAGACGTCTCGTCGTAGTACTACGTGGGATCAACTATTAGGACCGACTGATTGCAACCTGAGTGTTTCTCATAGCATACATACGATTGATTTACATCAGATACATCATCCGGGGCGAAATAAACCCAGAACTGCAGACGGAATTCCACCTGAGGAACAATAAGTGCATCAGGGGTCATGTACTGATACTCCGCAAGATGCAGTCAAGTTGTCTGCCACCGGTCTATCGTCGGTATAGGATGGTGACAAAGCTCTGGAATACACTGCCGGAGGACGTGGTGGAAGAACCAAATGACAGTTTACCCATAGTGAAACTCAACAGAACTATGCAGGATTACTGGTCTGATGTCAACACCTATAGGCTGACTATAGTCAGCCCAATGGAACAAAATGTGATGGGGCTGATACGGAAGCTCCCACTACCGTTCGCATTTGAAGAGTTGAAGAGAATAAAGTCCCATTAGAATCCCGGGAAGAACTTCTTCCGAGCATCAACTGAAGGGGTGGTAATGGAAAACAAGCCCTCATCGGTAGCAATACTGCAAGTCTTATTATCAGTAAACATATAGAATTTCTTTTGATATTTACCCATACAGGTGCTGTGATGCGACATAACTTCCGTGATGGAGGTATAAAGTACATCACAGAGAGGATTCAAAGATGAATCCAACGTGGACGTTCCTCGATAACAGCGAACCAACTTTCAACAAGTAAGTGTATACGTGATTAAATTACAATGTTCTGCGATATAATTTTTTGTTATTCGCTTTACTAATCCGAATTCTTAACAACCGTTTCAGATGATGTTTCAAACGCGAACATCAGTAAACACGGGAACGACTAGTGAAATCTGTATTGTTTGAACTTTGTACATATATTAATGAAATTATTTTCGTGTTAACTTATACTATATTGTTTATTTTAGGTTGAAAGCGTTCAATGGAATCGGAGAATTAGTCGCCGAATATGTAAAGTTTGTGAACACCGAGTTTTGCGTTAAGACAGCTATGCTAACATAAAACCCAATTGTAAGAAAGGGGTTAATGGGCTAGTTTTTTAGATTATGATTAAAGTACATAAATATTAGTAAGTGTCATATACGCTCTGGGATTAAGGGGTCTATAATCGTGGGTTCATCAAAAAGTTGAACACCGTTGCTGCCACTTTTTTTACCACCGTCACCTGAGCATACCCAAATGTGTCGCATTTGGACGCTCAGATGACGGTTGTTGGGGTCACTCAGGGGATGCTCAGGTGACTTCCAGGGACGCCCAGGTAACTCACATGCTGCATGGGACGTGTGTATGTTCAATGTGCAATGTTCTTTCATTAGGGGCAGTGGGAAACCAATGTGCATATAATGGCACTTCGTAGGATTGATGGGTAAATCCCACGCTCGCGACCAGTGCATCAAAGAATCCAGGTCTTTCTGCAGGGTGTTTACGTCAAATTTCTGATTGGATAGGTCTCCAGATCGTTAGATCATCCGCGTACAACAGACATTCCGATTCCAGGCAGTTCGGCAGGTCATTGATGAAAAGCTGAAACAGTATTGGCCCCAGTACCGATCCTTGTGGAACGCCACTGGAAGCCGTCAACCATGATGATCGTGCCCTTGACGCTTTCACCGAGAATAGTCTGTCCCTCAGAAAGTCATCTATCCATGACAGCAGCGGGCCCTGGATGCCAAACGAGCATAATTTCATCAGTAACTTCGAGTGAGACACCGTATCAAACGCTTTGCTGAAATCCACGAACACAAGATCCGTAGGATAACCTTCAGCTTTAGACTCCGCCCAATTTGCTGAAATCCACGAACACAAGATCTGTGGAGTAATCTTCAGCTTTAGACTCACTCACTGCGCCAACAGGAGATTGAATAAGCAGGAGCGGCCCCGTCGGAAGTCGTGTTGTCGAGAAGTAATACTATGTTGCGCCTCCAGGTGACCGATAATGTGCTTTGCCACTAACTTTTCTAGCACCTTACACTTCACACAAGTCAAACTCACGGGCCGATAGTTTACCGGGGCATGCTTATCACCACCTTTGAACAAAGGAGCAACCAG